TCTACTATAAATGATTACATGGGGGGGGGGAGCTTTTAATGGGATTCACAATTTGTATAATTTCACGTCAATCATTCTTGAGGCATTCTTGGGCATAATAGACCCGTTAGATTTACATTTACTGTCTGAAAAGCCAATGCACTCTACGTGGAAACTGCCATTACCTTAACTAAGAAATTACTTCATATTGAATCCTATAATTGAAATAAACAATTTCAGAAGACTGTTTTGCCATATGATTAATAGACTCTCTAAAATGCAAGTTTATTAAAATGAAGACAGCTGAGAAGTATGAATGTGTATTTTTATCTCATAAAAACTGAACAAAGGTTTTTCAAGTCACCTGTTTTGAAACTTAACTTTTAGTTCAGAGTCTCATCTTAAATAACTACACATTATAGTAATAACTACCATCAGCAGAATGACACTGGGTTAAGCACATTTATCACATTTGATACTTGCAATACCCCTAATCATGAACACATTATCAGTATTTTACAGATAATGTTCAAAATATACCCTCTACCCTACCTCAAAATAAACCTTTGTCCACACTGCAATGAAAAAAAAAAAAAAAACTGGAAGTGACTGACTGCAAATATACACATGCATATATAATAGCACAGCCAAATTGGCACATTCTTACATATGTATTACTGTCTCTTACACACAGCTTTACAAGTTACAGAACACTTTTACCTATCATCTCATTTGTTCCCACGACAGCACTATTATGGAATTATTATCACTGTGGTATGTGAGGGGCTTCAAGGCTCAGAGTTTAAGTGAAACCACTCAGCTTTTGATTCCTCATTCTTTCCCACTGCACTATCTTGATTCTCTATAATTAAAGAAACATTACTCCCTCCCGAGTATTATGCAATAAAAAGATGAAATGTACGACAGATCCTTGATAAGCTCTTTCGTAAGTTACATAGTTCACCAACAAGTTATTAGTTACTGGTTATTTTGACCCCAGTCACAGAAATATAATTTGTATGAATAATTTCTATTAAGATGATATATTATTCCAGGAATCCCCTAAATTAAATCCCAAATTAGTCAAAAGTGTATACTATCTCCTTGGGAAAACAGAGAATGTATAAATTAGTCTTTCATGACTTAACAATTGCTTCTAATAGATATCACATCTGCCCATAAAACCGCTTACCTACAGCCATTTATCCCACAGTAGATAGTGAGGGTGGCTACTCAAATACACATTTTACAAAAATCTACCTAAGTTTAGCAAATATGTGTACACCTAAACACAGAGAGACAGGATTACCACTAACTTGAAAAATCATTTGTAAAATAGTTATCTTTGCTTTGCACTTTTGAATACTTTGTACTTTTCAATGTACTTAATAAGCAAAATCGTTCTACTTCATGAATTCTACTTCTTCCTATGACATCTACCTTTTTTCCCCTTTTCTACTTTAAAATCTCCCACTCCACTTAGTAACTTGCTCTATCGTTACTCGTTAACTGTCCCAGCTTCTCATTAGTATGATGTCAGACATCATTCAACTGTTTTACCCTAGCATTTCTAATTATACCTGTGATTACTTTCTATGAAGAGAGGCCCCTACTCTCCTTCAAATCTACCTGGGTAAGAGCGCCTCTGAGTAGTTTGTGACTGAAAGACAAGTCAAAATCACTCCCTCCAATGGGATTCCCTCAAAGGCAGCACTGAAGAAAGGAAAAAAAAAAAAAAAAAAAGAAAACCAAAGCAAGATGTTTAAAGCGCTTTATAAAATATCAAGGACTACCCTATTGCCACTGTATTTTCAGCTGGTGGGGGTTCTCTTTTGTCTATTCATTTTTTAAGCTATAGAGAAAGCCCTCAACCATTCTTCTGTACTAGAGGTGATGATAGGGAACAGTAAAGGATAGGAAGAAACTTAACATGGGTAATGAATTCATTGGGGGATCAAGTTCAACAACTCAATATTCACATCTTTCTCCTTAAGTTAAATAATGCCCAACAAAGTAACATACCTGGATTTTCAAACCCTACAATGGTTACACAGAAAACCATTACATTTCTTAAAAAGAAAAAAGAATAGTGTTTCCCTGCAACCATCCCAGAGAAAACCTCTTCTGTGAAGCAATAAATCACCATTACAAAAAAGTTTGACTTCCACTCCCATTCCTTACATTTCTGTCTCCTAACTTTGAGAGCCTGCCAAAAGGCTTTGCTCACAATTGTGTCAAACAAGTATTTGAAATGAGTGTAAACAATTTTTTAATGCATCTTGCTGAAAAGTCTCACAATTTTATTTTTTATTTTTTTAACGTTTATTCATTTTTGAGAGACAAGAGTGGGAGACACAGAATCTGAAGCAGGCTCCAGGTTCTGAGTTGTCAGCACAAAGCCTGACGCAGAACTCGAACCCATGAACCGCAAGATCGTGACCTGAAGTGAAGTGGGACACTTAACTGACTGAGCCACCCAGCCGTCCCTCTGGCAATTTTAAAAATTTGTCCTGAACACCAGCGTGGAACAAGGTGACAGTTTTCCAGGTACTCTTAACAACTGCTTAATATCAGACAGGTGGAAAAACCACAATTTTGGAAAAGGTCTAACAATTTCAAGAAAGTTACTTTCACTTGTGAATATTCAAAAACTTTAAAGGTAAAACACAGTGGGGCAAACTAAAATCAAATCCCAAAATGGATGCACTTGACTTAAGGACAGAATCTCATTTTAACTCGTGGTTTACTTTTCCTATAAAACCTCTTAACTGTAAGGCAGATCTTTCTTCACCAAATAGAGAATTTCCAGGAATTTTGAAACACCTTACTAAAGAGATTTAATCACATCCAGATTCCTATCATACCACAAAGCCATTAAAATACAAGAGTACATAAGTGCTTTATAAAGATCCTACATTCCTAAAGAGAATAAGCATTTCTATTAAGAGACACAAAGCACCTTCCTAAGACTGAACTACTAGAATGGCACCTGACGCACCCCAACTCAGTGCTTCAACTTTACTTATTCAGAAACCAGAGGGAGACAAAGAGTTGCTTCTACAAAGTCAAAAATAGAGGAGTCCCTCCCTACTCATTCACAGCCTGTCTGCACGGATTTTAAACACAAATCTTAAGAAGTTTTATTTGGATTTTAATGTAGTATAGCGGGACTTCAGAGCAAATTAGCAGGTTTTAGGCAGTCATTTGATAGGTACGGTTACCAAGTGAAGGACTCCCTCCAGAGTAGGGAAAAAACACACACACACAAATCTCTGAGTAGCAGACAGAACGTTTAATACATATATGGTGAGCCCTATTTATCAACTCTTAAGGATCACATCTCTTCTCAATGTACCACAAAATAAAAACGATGTTCATAACCACGACTAAGTCATAAAGTTATGCTTCTCCTAATAAGGCAAGTACATAAAATACCCTGGAACTACACCTAAAACTGTTACCTTAAAATATACATTAAAACAGCACAAGAGCATACACACACACACACACACACACACACACACACACACACACACCATCCCCCTAGGGTCCAAAAGATCTAAATTAATTGATCAGCATTCCAAAACTATTTGAGAATTCCAACTAGTAGAGATCTAAAGCAAAACCTCTCTTCTCTGGTTACATTTTTTCCCTATATAAACAGTTCTGTCAAGTGCTTTTGTTGGCAGGTTATAATAGAATAAGCCTTATTTCCTGTTCTTTATCTCGTATCAAAACTCTAAAGTCCATCATCACCTCTGACATATGGTCAACACGTCCAAACGTTACCGTGAACGATCAAACCCATAGTTCACATAACTTTTCTAATACAGTGTGTCTTCCTGGATAACATCTTATCAAAATGTTTTACACCTCATCTCACTAAACCTTTATCAGATTGTGGAAAAATGAATCTGAAGAACACAAGTCCACAGTGTAGTTTATAAACTCTTCTTTATGCCACGGCCGTACTTTCCTAACTGTAAGCTTTCACTAATTAGAAGCATCAGAAAAACTTTACGCCTTTAAGTACCATCAAAATTCTCAATCAGGATTTCATGCGTTCGGTTCACACCGCAGCAAAAAGATCAAATGCTGAACTCCTAAAAATAGGGGTGTTAGGAGAGGGACACACAACACTCTGCTGCCAAAGCAAATGCGTCTTGGAGGGGGCAGGGGCGCTCCTGGTACGCGTACAGTAGGAGCTCACATTCAGCAAAACCGGGGAGCGAAGGATCAGGTGACTTCACACCACAGACCTTTCAGTCCGATCGGGCCTTACTCTCTCGTCTGAGTGACTAGTAAACGGCTCGCAAGCCTAGTTCAACAACTAAATCTGGACTTGCATCCTAGCCACGCGCAACCGGCGGCAATGGGTTCGGGATCCGAGGAGCCCCGGAACGCGAGCCCCGGGACACAGCCCCGGCCTGCGGACTGCGGCTCCCTCCTGGAAGGGTGTCTGGAGAGCTTTCCGACCTGGCAGCGAGGTGTCTGCTCCCCCCGCGCGCTCCGCGTCCTCCTCCGTGGGGCCCATAAAGCCCTGGCCACTCTGTCCCTCCCTTTCCAAGGGAGGGACAGAGGGCGGCGAGTGCCCGCCGGGAGACAGATCGCCCTGCCGCGTCCGGAGCTCTCCAGCACCCAGCCCCTGCGCCGCCGACTTCCCCGCGCCCCTGGTCTGCGGCCCCTGCTCAAGGCCGCCCCCTCAGGTCGGGGCGCACGCGGCGGCAGCCACGCGGCGGGCGGGCAGGGGGCCGGGCCGCCCGGGCGCAGACGCGCGCGCCGCCCGTTCGCCCGACAGCTGCGGGAGCCGCGGCCCGCGGGCCGCCCTTTCAGGCCGCGCGCCGCGGGAGCTCGGGGCGCGGCGGGGGCTAGGCCCGGCGGCCGCCAGACGCGACGGCGGGAAGAGGGCTGAGCCAGCCGCGGACGACGACCCCGCCGCCCGCGGCCGGTGCCCGCGGGTCCGAGCGGCCCGCGCCCTCTGCCCACCGCGACCCTGCGGGCTCCGCCCCGCCGGCGCGTACCTAGGAAGGTCGTGGACGAGACGTGGTTAACCCCGGTGTTTGGGTCGCTGGTCCGCCGCCGGCGCCGCAGCCCCTGGTGCGGCTGCTGCCTCCGCGCTGCCTCGTCCCCCTCCGCCATCTTGTACCGATTTAAAATTAACTCCCCACTGACGTCAAACGCCGCCGCCGCTTTATCAACCTCCCGGGAGCCGGCGGGACGCTGGCGGGTCCTAGCGCCGCCTGCAGCCAGCGCCTCCTTGTCCTCCCCACGCCCTCCCCCGTCCCGCCCATCGGCGCCTTCGCTCCGCCCCCGCCCTGCCAGCCTCGCAGCCCGACTGTCAGCCTGCCCTTTGGCTTTGCTGGCCTTCCACGACTGGATGGGATTGGGCGGCGCCCCCGCCGCGGTCACCCGCATCCGCACCTCTGCGAGCTCAGTACCACACCCCCTTAGCGTTGGGCTGGGCTGTGTAAACGCAGAAAGGATCTCCAGAGAACCAAGTCCCTCCTTCGCAGTTCAGTAACCCAATTCTTTTTACAGCTCTTCTTCACAATCGTTCACTCGTGCCCTGCACGTGAGGTTGCTTTCGCATGCCTTTCTCTCTTTTATCCGCCACCTTCGGGCGTGGGGGGGGGGGGGCGTACCACCCTGCCTGTCTTTCTCCCGAGCTATTGCTCTGCCCTTCTTTCCCTCTTGATCTTTTCTCACCCACGTCCCTAATGTTGCTTCCCCTCTAGAGACCAACCTGTGGTTTATTTGCAATAGCTCCTATCTGCTTATGAGACCCTCCTCGTTATTTTCTTGACTGTGCATACCTTTTCCTGCTCCTAGTACCTTGCAGGGACAAGCCAGAAAGCACTGTCATCAGAAAATGAATTGTAACCGGTCCTTTCCTAACTATGATGAAACCTCCTCGTGAGAATCCAGTGATATCCTGCAGAAAGTGCAGGTCACTGTTTAAAATAAATACCAGCCAGCAACATGGATGGACCTTGAGGGTGTTATGCTGAGCGAAATAAGTCAGGCAGAGAAGGACAAATATATGTTTGCACGTATAGGAGGATTAGGAGGAACTTAACTGAGGACCATGGGGGAGAAGAAGGGGGGAAATGGTGGGGGAAAGGGAGAGAGGCAAACCATGAGAGACTCTTGAATGCTGAGAAGCAAACTGAGGACTGATGGATGTTGGGGGGGGGAGGGGAATGGGCACGGAGAGGGGCACTTGTGGGGATGAGCACTGGGTGTTATATGGAAACCAACTTGACAAACTATTTGTAAGAAAAAAAATAAAACTAAAAGAAATTAAAAAAATAAATTGAATAGAATTATCAGCAAAAATAATAATAATAATAATAATAAATAAAATAAAATAAATACCAGCCTGTGGAACTGCCTGTGAAACACGGTCTCTTTTCTTTTGGATTTTTACCACATCATCAATGCATTAAAAACTCTTTTTCCTTGGTAAAGACGGGCATCCAGGTGTCTGAATTGCTGTCATGGCCAGGTCTTCTCAAAAGTCTCAAAATCACGGCCTTACATCCTGCATATCTCTAGAATAGCATGGGTGTCACGGAAGCTTCAGGATGCCATTCTAGAGGAGTTTTCATTGGCCTGTCTGTTTATTCATCTGTTTTCGGTCTTTATGGAAAGGGATCTGGAGCTCCTCCTGGACTTCCTAACTCCCTGCACCCTGGTTCAGTGTCCCTGGGGCAGCCTAAGCTCCAAGCCATAAGCCTGGCTTGATGATGGATTTCCTCTCATAATCTCCCTATGCGGGATCTATATAATATTGCCAACAATCTGCTTTCTGCAAGGTATCATCTCAGAAGAAGATGCAAAGCTGAGTATTTTTGCAGTCAACAAACTTTCTGTTAGTGTTAGCAGTGAACTTAGTACGGAGTGCACCCCATCAGCGACCCCCCCCCAGGGAGTTAAGGCTGCACCCCTTCTAGTCAATTGACCTAACTGGTATCCTTTCCACAATCAGACACTATATTAATCTCATAGACTGCTACTACAGTTTCCTGAACAGGTCCGCACAGCTCCTGACTTGAAGGAGTGTAGAGAAGCCAAACGCAAGTACAGTCAAGAGACTGAGCATTGTTCCACGGCCGCCTTATATCTGTGCGTGTTGAAAAATCCATTCTTTGTTTTCCCCAGCCAGCTATCCGTCTTCAGTTTCTCATCACAGTGAAATCTCAGTGTTACTTCAGACTTCTCCCTCCCCCACCCTCCCTTCTAAACCAAGAGAGTGTGTGCAAAGTCAGCTGTGACTTCTAAATCTTTGTCTAGCTCTTCTCCATCCCTTCAGACTCGCTCTTGACTCAGCACTCATCATTTCCCACGACACTGAGGTGGCTTATTGCCGGGGACCCTTCTGTTGTGAGTCTTCCATACAGCCACTGGCTTGAGTTGTCTTCGATGCAAGTCTGGTGATGTGATTTCTCGGCTCAGGATAAAGTGCAAACTCTTCAGAATAGTTGACAAGGCCTTTCATGATTTGGACCCTAACTATGTATCGAGCTGCATTTTTCACTACTCAGTCGTTTATTTCTCATTTTTTCATTTAACAATGAATTCTAACACTGCCGTGTGTGCTGAGCGACAAGTAATGAACAAGACAGACAAAACTGGTTTACTTAGGGTTGTTTTTTTCCCCCCTTTCTACAGCCCACACAAACCTCTCCAGCACAAGAAAGTGAGCTCCAGGGGCTCAAAGATCTGTCTTATTCAGGGGTGCCTTACTGGCTCAGTGGTGGAACATATTACTCTTGATCTCAGGATCTTGAGTTCAAGCCCCATGCTGGGTGTAGAAATCACTTTTAAAAAGTTCTGGTTCTACCACTGATTCACCTAATGTTTCAAAACCTCCAGGTCCTCATTTTTTTATAGCTAACTAATTAGAACAAAATTCGTATGGGTTCAAATCAGTGGGCGTCAGAGCATTTTCTTAACTGTTAAATAACTAACATTTATGAAATGTTTCCTGTTCCAGGCACCTTTCAAAGTACTTTACATGTGTTGAGTCATTTAATCCTCAAAACAATCCTGAGAGGTATGTGCTGTGAATATTCTCGTCTTCCAGTTAGAAAAAACTAAAGTTCCAAGAGGTTTAAAATGTGTCTAAGTGGCAAGACTGGCATTTGAAGAAGCCTAGGCAATCTGGGTCCAGAGTTTCTGCTCATATCCACTGTGATAGTGTTCACTTTACACACTGTGAATTCGGGGAGAGCAGAAGCCATAGCTTATTCACAGCAGGTACTTTGGGATTCTGCCTTCAGTTAGTGTAAATTGTATTAAAAGCTGTATCTTCGAAATAAACCACTTTAAAAATCTTTAAATCCAATTAATAAATGGGCAAAAGATGTCCACAGACAATTCGTAACAAAGGCATTACAAAACTGGACCTTAAACATGCGAGAAAACGTTTGGCTTCACTCATAATGAGAGAAACTCAAATTAAAGCAACATTAAGACACCGTTTCTCACCCATCCGTTTGGCAAAAATTCAAAAGCTTATGATTACATCGTGTTGGCAAGGACATGGGGGAAAACAGGCACTCAAACACTGCTTTCTCACTGAGAAGGCAAAATGGTACAGCCCACATGGCGAGGAATTTGGCATTGTCCAACAAACTTCATCTGCATTTACACTTCAAACTGCTAATCACACTTCTGGGCAATAACTCTGAAGGCACAACTCCAATAATACAAAAAAATACATTTGTACAAGGTTATTCACTGCAGGATTATTTGCAGCTGCAAAATATCAGAGACGAGATATCCAAGCAGAGGTGATGAGTTAAATAAACTACAATAAGTACTCATAATGGGGTAATTTGTAGCTGTAACTAGAGAAGAGAGAGATTTCTATGAACTGATATGCAGTGATTCCTAAGAGATATTCTTATGTGAATAAATCAAACTGCAGAAGAGCATCTGTAGCATGCTACCTTTTATGAGACAGGGAGAAATAAGAAAACATGTGTGTATCCACTTATCTGTCCAAAAAGAAGCTCCAGAAGGCTAAACAGAAAACAATAGTTAGTTTTCTGAAAGGAGGGTGGGTGGGGAATAAGGCAGAAGAAATACAGAATGAAATGATGCTTTTCTCACTATACCGTTTTGGATAGTGTTGACTCTTGAAAACATGTTTTACATGATCAAAAAATAAAATTAAATCAATAAGGATGGGAAGGTTAAATCAATAAGGATGGGAAGTTTGCTAAAACTGAAAAGCAAACCAAATAAATAATTATAACAGTATTTAAATGAATAACAGACTGATGGATGTGGGGGGGAGGGGGGGATGGGCATGGAGGAGGGCACTTTGGGGATGAGCACTGAGTGTTATGTAGAAACTAATTTGACAATAAACTATTTGTAAAAAAAAAAAAATAAATAAATAAATAAATAAATGAATAACAGAGCCACACTGAAGAGGGTGAAAAAGAGCCAACAAATCCAAGTGCTTTAGAAACATAGAATCGTTCATTGGGGCGCCTGGGTGGCTTAGTCAGTTACGCCTCCGACTTCGCTTAGGTCATGATCTTGCGGTTCGTGGGTTCGAGCCCCGCGTCGGGCTCAGTCAGCACAGAGCCTGGAGCCTGTTTCGGTCTGTGACTCCCTGTCTCTCTGACCCTCCCCTGCTCACGCTGTCTCTCTCTCTCTCTCTCTCTGCTAGAAAACAAACAAACATAGAATCGGACTGTAAACATTTCTCAGTCTCGGTCAGGGTAGAGGGGAGAACAGCAAACAAATCCTGAAGGCTTTTTGTAGAGGGATGGGCAAAGCAATTCTGAATCTATTTTGAATGTATTTATAGATCAGTAAATATATGTATATTTATATGATATACATAATATTGATATATACCACTGATCTATATAAATATATTTCTATAATATATAAGTGTATTTAGATATGAGCAAATATATAAACATATTTTAGCTGAGTCATAGATGAGTAAATGTGTTGATATTGTTGAGAGCCAGTGTTCTCAATGGGGAAGAAGGGACATAAAATAATGAAAGGGGGAAAGCAAGGTGGATCTTATGGGATAGACTAAATTGGAGGTATTGATATGGACTGAAGATTTATAAAAATGCATAAATACATGTGTATGTAAGTGTAAATATGCATGTATATGTGT